AAGGTGAGTGAGCAAATGCATCTTGTAAATGATATCCCTTTTAATCAAGGCTCTTAGTAACTGTGGTGGACAGTGGACTACACATACTGAAAAAATAAAAATAAATTTCAATGTTTAGTACTCATGGCACATTTGGTAGATTGTTTAGACAGGGTAAAAAAACTTAGTATCCCTACCAAACGCAACCTCAGTGTTTTGATTACTAAAGTTTTGCTTGCCATTTTCGAATACTGAAATGGAGGAGTCTAACTTTTGATGTGTTTTCCTGGTAGTGAGCCCTGATGGCCTTCTGCTGCAAAGCTCAACGGTGGCTGATTCAGCACCTTTCCAATTCTCGGATGGGAAAACGGAATCAGTCCCTTGTTCGTACATTGAATTTGCTGAGCGTCTCGTCTTGCCAGAGTTTAAAGATTTGCCTGAGAATGATGTAAGTGATCTTACCTCTGTGGAATTCTCCAGTAATTTCTCTTTTAGAATTCACTCGAAAGAAATATAGTTTCCTGATGAAGGGGACCTTGACATGGTATAACACCCTCTTGTAAAATTGTAAGGTAATATTGGAGTTTGCCGCCTATATTAAAGGGGCGTGATCCCATGACATAAGTCCCCCGTGTCATGCTATGACATGAGCCCCATTTGGGATCCCTACGGTGCTCCATTCAAAAATTTGATGGTTCCTAACCCCCGTAAGCCTCCTCACCCTCGCATGACCCAAACCCATCCCCACCCCCGTCAATTGCACCCCACCAGACTTTAATATCAAGGGGATATTAAAACCTTATATTGGGACACTTCGGAAAAATGCATCATTTTCACATTGCCTTGATCTCATATATGTTTATAATAACTGGAAGTCTCTGGCAATCGATTTACACAGGTGAAGGAATTTCACCGGCGAGATGGCTTCGAGGTTGGAAATGCAGACATGATCTTCGAGAGCACATCCAAGGATCAACTTACCAGGCTTTGATCATTACTAATAATTGTTGGAATTTGTGTGTTCTGTGTTCTTGCAGCAGCAAGATGCTCCTGAAAAACGAAACCTCATACTCCGTATATATTTATAAATCATGTAACACAAATAATCCGTATCGCAGAAAATCTTTACACAATGTTTGGTTCAAAAAATTTGAATAGAAAAAAAGAAAATGAACTAGAGAGGAAGAAAATAGTTTTCTTTATGAGTGTGTTTGATTGAAAGAAAATGAATGGGAATGAGAGAAAATAATTTTCTTTATGGGTGTGTTTGATTGGTTTTTTCATAGAAGATGGTTTTCCTTAGTTTCTTTGTCTTCTAATTTATTTTCCTTTTTCTTTTTTTCTTTTTTTCTTATCAAACAAGAAATATGTTTTCCATTTTATTGTCTTTTATTTTGTCTTTCAAGTTCTCTGAATCAAACATAACATACTAGAAAATGATTTTCAAGGAAAATTATTTTATATTCATATTTTTCCAAATGTCTTTTTCTTTTTTCATAGACAGAATATGATAAATGAGGTTGGAAGTAGTCAGATAGATAAGGTGGCTCGCGAGTCGTCTATACTGTGAGGGATCATGCTAGGTAGCCCTAGACGGTGTGGACAAGCCGTGCGTCAACTTTAGAGGTGTGGCAGCAAGCGTGTAACCCAATAATCAAGCTTTGTGCAATATATTCAACGCGTACTTGTGTTGGCATAACACCATACCAGAATGAGAACAAAGGTTGGATTATTGGGTTACAAGCTTGCCGCCACACCTCTAAAGTTGACTCACGGTGTAGGGCTCCCTTGCATGGTTCCTCGTGTTAAATATATCAATTATTTAATATATTTAATATTATATATTATAATTATGGTTGTTAACTATTATAGTTAGAGTTATTACTATCCGTTCTAGAGTATTTGTCCACTTTCTTTTTTACACACCATCCAATGCACTGCTTTAATCCATTTTATCTTGTAATTTGTATATTAAAAAATTATAGAAATTATATATTAATAATCTATATGTTAAGACAAATCAAACAAGATCAGACATGATTATATTTAGGCTTACACATTGAGAGAATTTGATAAGTCAAAGTGCTTAGATGAACAGTTCCAAAAGTCAAAAGTGGACGAATATAGCGGGACAGAGGTAGTATTACCTTATATAATTAGTCATTAATGTGGAAGATTCTAGAATATATATATATATTCCTCCACCTATAAATACATACTTTGTATTCTCCTATATTATTCAATCAATAAAGCATTCTTTATTAATTTACATGGTATCAGAGTCACCGTTCTTGGTGACCTAAATTTCTCCGCTTTCGCTTCTGGCGGGTGGCACCACCATTAACCGTTACCCGCCGGATCACTGTTTTCCTCTAAATCAATTCCTACTCCACCAAACTACCGGCCTCTCCTGGCGCCAAGATTCCACCTGTTCACTCGAGAGTAACATGAGGCACAATTAGTGGGTAGATCTTCGGTCAACATGCATCACTGGCAGTACCTCATTCCTTATGTTTCTTTTCTAACCCAGTCGCGCACGACTCCAGCGCGCGTCAACCTTCTCCCTCTTTCGACGTCAACAACATGAGTCTGTTCGCAGCGGCTTTTCTCCTCTCCTCATCAGCGCCTTCACATCTCTTTTCTGGCAATCATTCTTCTTCTCTTCTAGGCCGGATGCATTCAGACTACTCTACCCGAAGATATGCCTCTAGCTTCTGATTATAATTCTAGTCACGATTCAAGTAAAGTTAGCATTCAATCTTCACCGTTCAGGGCGTTGGGAGCATGTTAAATATATCAATTATTTAATATATTTAATTTTATATATTATAATTATGGTTGTTACCTATTATAGTTAGAGTTATTACTATATAATATTACCTTATATAATTAGCCATTAATGTGGAAGATTCTAGAATATATATTCCTCCACCTATAAATACATACTTTGTATTCTTCTATATTATTCAAACAATAAAGCATTATTTGTTATTTTACATGGTATCAGAGCCACCGTTCTTGGTGACCTAAATTTCTCCGCTTTCGCTTCCGGCGGGCGGCACCGCCATTAACCGCCCGCCGGATCACTGTTTTCCTCTGACCCAAAACTCTTCCATTGTACAAAAAAAGATCTCTGTTATAGTCACCAGTGTCTCTAACGTTCAGACCGGCGACCCCTACTCCACCAAACTACCGGCCTCTCTTGTTGCCAAGATCGCACCTGTTCACTCGAGAGTAACATGAGGCACAGGTTCACTTTGCCTTTGAAAGGGGTGTCATCGGTGTTCTAGGAACTATCAAGATGTCTTATCTCTCTAGAGCCTCTGATTTGGCTCATTGATCAGAAATCCTTCTCCTCCATTCACCCTTCATTCCCTATTTTTTCGATCTCTCACAACTCATATCATCACTCCAACCTCCTTCGTGGGTAGATCTTCGGTCAACATGCATCTCCGGCAGTACCTCATTCCTGTGTTTCTTCTCTAACCCAGTCGTGCACGACTCCAACGCGCGTCAACCTTCTCCCTCTTTCGACGTCAACAGCATGAGTCTGTTCGCATCGGGGCCAAGAGAGGCCGGTAGTTTGGTGGAGTAGGGGTCGCCGGTCAGAACGTTAGAGACGCCGGTGACTATAATAGAGATCTTTTTTTGTATAATGGAAGAGTTTTGGGTCAGAGGAAAACAGTGATCCGGCGGGCGGCGGTTAATGGCGGTGCCGCCCGCCGGAAGCGAAAGCGGAGAAATTTAGGTCACCAAGAACGGTGGCTCTGATACCATGTAAAATAACAAATAATGCTTTATTGTTTGAATAATATAGGAGAATACAAAGTATGTATTTATAGGTGGAAAAATATATATTCTAGAATTTTCCACATTAATGGCTAATTATATAAGGTAATATTATATAGTAATAATTCTAACTATAATAGGTAACAACCATATTTAGAATATATAATATTAAATATATTAGATAATTGATATATTTAACACCTCGCAGTACAGACGATTCGCGAGTCACCTTATTTATCTGACTTTGGAATATATTCAATGCGTGATCGCCTCAATTCTCCGTAGGTGATGTTTATTTATATAATATAAATTAGGTTTTATTTATTTAATATTATTATAAAATTTTTATAACTTAATCATTGAATTGTAACATCTATTTTGCTCATAATGTTTTACACGTAAGTCCAAACCTAACAAACTATATTTCATTGGTCATAATTTTATGGGGTAAATTTCATGAATGATACCTGAACTTTTAGCTGTTTTTCGTTTTGGTACCAAGACTTTTTTTTCTTTAAAAAAATACCTGAACTTTGAAAATCTTTCACAAATGATACCTCGAGCCGGTTTTCAGGTAATCATCAGGTTATTTGGGCCAAATTAAAATTTTATATATTTTAAAATCTTCAATTTGACCTCATTTCTTTTTTTTTCTTTTCCCCCTCCCACTCCCTTCTTTTTCTTCTTCTTTCCCCCTATTTTTCTTCTTCTTCCTTCTTTCACCCCTTCTTTTCTTTTTCTTCCTTCTTTCACCCATTTTTTTTCTTCTTCATTAAACCCTCCACTCACAACAATCCACCCCTCCCTACTTGTTTAACCCCACCCCCCTTCTTGAGTCCCCTCTTTTTTTTGTTTAATTTTAACTTCCTCTTTAAATGTTTTTTTGTTTTCGAATTTTTTGTTGAATAAATTTTTTAATCTTTTTTCAATTTTTTCCTTTTTATTTTATTTGTATATTTTTTTGTTTGTTTCTATTTTCTTCTTGATGTTTTAATATTGTTTGTTTGTTTGTTTACGATTTTTGTACAAACTTTTTTGTTGCTAACAAATGTCTAATTTTTTGTTTTTTTGTTTTATTTTTTGATCTTTTTGTTTGACTTAAAGGAAGAAACAGATAATAAATAATAAATAAAGATTTCAAGAAACAACTTTTTTTTCTTGATATTTTTAAATTGTTTTTGTTTAGAATTTTTTTTGTGAACTTTTTTTTGTAAGTTTTTTAAATCTATCCTTTTAAGAATTGTCTTATTTCTTTTGTTTGTTTTACTTTTTTATTTTTTTGATGTTGTTTTATCTTATTTTTGATCATTTTTTGTTTTTTATTTTTATGCTATATTTTATTTTTTCATCAAATGAAGTAAAAAACTAATTGACGTTTAAATTCGTTTTTTGTGTGTTGTTCTCTTTTTATGTTGCACTTACTCTTAGTTTGACTTATTTTATTTTATTAATTAACTTTTTTATTTTATTGATCATTTTAGTTAAACTTCTTTTTTGTTTGTTTTATTTGATATTTTATGTTTGTTAACTTTTTTTGTCTGTTTTCAAATAAAATAAACAAAAACACTAAATGCATGGTATGCTATTTTTGTTTAACTAAAATGTTCAATAAAATAAAACTCATCAATTAATAAAATAAAATAAGTCAAACTAAGAATAAGCGAAACATAAAAAAAGAACAACCACAAAAAAGAACGAATCCAAATGCTAATTAATTTTTTTTCTTCATTTTTATGAAAAAATAAAATATAAGAAAATAACAAACAAAAAATAATAAAGAAACAAAAAAATAAGACAAACACTTCTTAAGAGAATAGGTAAAGAACTTACAAAAAAAGTTCACAAAAAACTCGTAAATAAACAAACAAATAATATAAAAGTATCAAGAAAAAAAGATAAAAAAACAAAAATTTTAACAAAAAACAAACAAACAAGATTGAAAAAAACAAAAAACAAAAAAACAAGAAACCGTGAAAAAGGAAAGACAAAAAGAGGGAGCTCAAGGAAAGACAAAAAATTAAAACAAACAATAAAATGAAACACTTCTTAAGAGAATAGGTAAAAACTTACAAAAAAAGTTCACAAAAAACTCGTAAACAAACAAACAAATAATATAAAAGTATCAAGGAAAAAAGATAAAAAACAAAGATTTTAACAAAAAACAAACTAATAAGATTGAAAAAACAAAAAACAAAAAAACAAAAAAATGTGAAAAAGGAAAGATAAAAAGAAAATAATTGAAAAAAATTAAAAAAATTATTCAACAAAAAATTCGAAAACAAAAAACACTTAAAGAGGAAGTTAAAATTAAACAAAAAAAAGAGGGGACTCAAGAAGGGGGGTGGGGTTAAACAAGTAGGGAGGGGTGGGTTGTTGTGAGTGGAGGGTTTAATGAAGAAGAAGAAAAAAAATGAGTGAAAGAAGGAAGAAGAAAAAAAACAGGGGGGAAAGAAGAAGAAAAAGAAGGGAGTGGGTGGGGGGAGAAGATGAAAAAAAAAATGAGGTCAAATTGAAAATCTTAAAACATGCTTGGTCTGTCCCTGAGTGTTTGTCCACTTTTGACTTTTGGAACTGTTCATCTAAACACTTTGACTCATCAAATTCTCTCAATGTGTAAGCCTAAAAATAGTCATGTGTGATCTTGTTTGATTCGTCTTAACATATAGATTATTAATATATAATTTTTTATAATTTTTTAATATACAAATTACAAGATAAAATGAATTATGGAAGTGCATTGGATTGTGTGCAAAAATGAAAGTGGACAAACACTCAGGGACGGAGGGAGTATAAAATTTAAATCTGGCCCAAATGAACTGATGATTACCTAAAAACCGGCTCCAGGTACCATTTGTGAAAGATTTTTAAAGTTCAGGTATTTTTTTGAAAAAAAAAGTCTAGATACCAAAACGAAAAACAGTTAAAAGTTCAGGTACCATTAATGAAATTTACCCTAATTTTATGATATCTATTCAAATACCTAATTTTTACATCAAAAGATTGAATATTTAAATAATTTAAATTTTTGTTTAGCGAATAAAATAAAATTTATTTTTGATTTTTTAAAATAAAATTTGCATTGAATATGATTAAATCATAAGTTATTTTAACAATGTAGGACTTAAACTTTTTTTAAATAATGATTAGTGAGAAGAATAATGTCCAAGTTAAGTGAACATTTAGTTGATATAATGACTAATAAATAATGACTAATAAATAATGACCAAAGGTCCTATATTGGAAAACAAAAATATATAATCCTATTTTAAGAAAATCATTATAATTTAGCCTACATTTTTACGATAATTTTTTATTTTCATCATCTCGGGAGAAGGTATATCATACATTTGAATATACCTAGAAGTATGTACATTCGGATAGTACCCATTCTTAAGTATAGTACTCATTTCAGTCAAACATCGTAAACCGAAACAGGCGTTATAAAATGGGACTGAGGGAGTAGTATTGTACACTATAAATAATTTCTCTTCTGCCCTACCCGACCCGACTAGGGTTTTTGATCCAGCCCCTCTCCAATCCGCAGCGATGTTGAGCACCTCTCCCAACAGCAGCTTCAGAGATTGTTGAGCACCTCTCCGATCAGCAACTTCGGCCCTCTTCATATGGGCTGCCAAATTTCAGTCCTTCCGTCGTCCCTCAAACTTCGGCACTTCCAAATACATTCGCCCGCCGCAGCTCTACGTTCGAATCTGACGTCAGTTATTATCCAATATAATTTGCCTCATCTGGGCCGCTTCTCGATTGAGCTACTCCACCACCATTCATTTTCACATGAGTGCTCCACCTTCGCCACTTCCCCTACCTCCCCACGAGGCCAGTAACCGCCCACACCAGGCGCGTGGAAGATTCGATTTCCCTGTATCGCGGCCGATTTGGAGCGGCGTCCAGTTTCTGCCACCACCTCATCTTCTTTGGATTTCGGAAGAGAGGTATGGATCTCTTTTATATTCTCCTTTTTTTGGGTTTTGAAAGAAAAATCATGTATTTACAAATCCGCCTAGCTGTTTACCCATGAATTGTGCGCAGCTATTTCATGCCTAGTTGTTTTTTGGGGTTTAAATTTATATTGTTGGGTTTCTAATCTATTTGGTGGAATAGTACTGATATATTTTAGCTTGTGTTTGAGTGGTGAAGATACTTGGCCACATTACACAGAGGAAGAAAAAGGAGAATGAGTGATGGATTTTAGGGGGTTTTGTTATCTTAACCCCTAGCCTTGTTATCTTCATTTATACAATAATAGTCACCAATAGAGTATAAGTTTTGAAACTTACACACACTCTTAACTAGCCAACCTTGGAGATGTTTCAATGCAAGTCTAGTACTACATATATTAAGTGAGGAAATGGGGAATGCAATTAACGATGATTCGGCGCTGAGTAGTCTATATTTAGAGTGATTGGAGTGGAGTATTACATACTCCGTATGGTTTGAAAATTCCCCACACTGCATCATACTATGCTACTATGGTTTTGTTTTGTTAGTCCTTTGGTGTCCATCTGATGCTTCTTGTAGGCACTACTGCTTTATGACTTTGGGGTTGTTTTTATATAATCAAACATGTGCATGCTAGGTTTAATGACCACCATAGGAGTTGGATGCTCTGTTTTTTTGTTTTTTTGCTCCATGGTCTTTGCAAAATCAAGGATCCACTAGTGCTACTTTTGGACTTTGTAAAGGTAGCTTAGGAAGTTTTTTTTGTATAAGGACTCTATGGTTGCTGCCATTTTCTAATATGGAGACTCAATTTGATTACCTTTTGTTTGAGAGTTTGTTGTAAGACTGCAACTTGTCTGGATTTAGAGCAAAGATGACCAGATTATTTGAGGGGATCCTATAAGCCAGTTTTGTTGAGTTTGCACCCATATATGATATATATGTATATATTTTTAAAGGTTATGTTTGGGAGTTCAGTTTTGGAGGGGGGTGGGGTGGCAGGGCAATTTCTTTTATACAAATAGCATACATAATGCAGATTAACATTTCATGCGAATATACAAACAGATTTTGGGTCAATATGGTCAACGGGGCTCGTTCTACAAACAACCCGGAATTTCGCCCACGGAACGGTCGACTGTGCCCTATTGGCGGTCGATCGTGGAATGCATTATGGAGGTCTGGAACACTGACGGTCCACCACGGTCTTCCGTTGCGGCTGATGGTCGACCGTTACGGTGGTGGCCGACAGACGGTCAAGGGATACGGTCCACTGTCCTTAGCGTTGGTCGACCATCCCGTAGATAGTCCACTGTCCCTTGCTTTGTTTTGATCCGTTTTGTGAACTTAATGCCTTGATTCTTTTCAGAACAATAATGTAAACACTTATGAGTATATTCCTAGTGATTCCTAGGCCATTATATATGATTTTTATGTAGTGATTGTTTTGATGGTTAATCTACGAACATGCATAGATTCTACGTAGGTTGCGTACGATATTCCTATGAATATAACGACATAGATTATAACTAAATGTTCTAGAATTAGAGGGGACAACTACTCACCTCTAAATGAAGGGGTTGGCAGATTGATGAAATGAGATGAACGAACGGCGCTAAGGATCAGACGAACGATGGACAACGAACAGCCTCACTTGTAGACCTTCTTCCCTTCTTCTTCTTCACTTCCTCGCCGGAAACCACCATGCCTGGCTATGGGTGGGCCGAATGCAATGGAGGAAGAGGAAGTGAGTGTGTGAATATTTGGGGGTTACAAATGTGGTGGAAAGTGAAGAGGGAAGAGGTTATTATATTGAAGGGGAATTATGGAGAATTAATAGGGAATAATGATGAATTAAAGTTGATGAGCAAATGGAAAATGAATGGGTGGTGTGGTGGCGTGTGGAATGATTAAATGGGGAGTTACAAATATTTATTTTCTCCGTTATAAAAAATATGACCTGAACGTTATGCGGTTTTTACCCCGAACGGGTCCGAATTGAGATCCATTTGTGTTTCCAGAATCAGACAGTCAAAACAAATTTAATGACATATTCAAATAATTTTTCTCAAAACTTTATTTTCAAACTTCCGGGTCCACCACAATCATTAATTAATTTATTTACTTAATTAATGTCAAGAGGCCCGTTATTAAAACATCCTTTTATAATTAAAATACATTAGCTTTGGAAAGCCATTTAAAGAGATCAAAATCTCAATATTTATTAATTTTAAAATAATGAGTCTCAATAAATAAATAATATTTATTTATTTAAAACTAGGCCGGTTTGAGGGCGTTACAACTATTTCCAAAACCACTCTAGTAGTCGGGGGGGGGGGGGGGGGGGGGG